CCCCCCCCCCCCCCCCCCGCCCGTGTAAGCCCTGAATATTCCGGCGTGATCCAGTAAAGGTAAACCAGTAAAATTATCCCGACGAAACACGAGTTCCCCAGCCAGTCCCAAAAAAGTGGAGCCTACATCAGGATGCACTTGGGGCGCGTGTATCCAAGCCATCCGACTAACAAAACACTAACAAAATATATTTTTTCTTCTCTTCACATTTCTCTTCCGTCGCCCAAAATATATGTAGACCTGCGTTTGCCTGCTTGGGCTACTGCTTATTCCTTTTCTCTTGATACACGCGCACGCGGTTACGGACCGAGAGCCAAGCCGATCCTCTCGCCCAGCAAAGCACGGCCCGCACCGGGCTTGGGGGCACCGCTACATTTTCCAGCCACATCTACAGGGTCCCTCCAACCTCGGCCCCCCCTCCGCCCCCCCGCCCCCCAGAGCACGCCTACTTTTCCGCTCGCCAGGCGCGGACAAAAAAAGGGCGACGGGAGGCCAAAGTCCGACAGATATTGGAAGCGCTCGGGAAATGAGCTGTTCTCTTTTTGCAATATAAAAATAAGACACACAAAGCGGCGTCTCACGGCACAGCAACCAATGCGCCGTATTCTCGTCCCCTCCTCTACCTCCAACAAACCGCCTCCCTCCCCCGCCCCAATACACCGCCTGTGCACTTGGGGGGGTCTCAAACGTAGTTTTGAAGAAAGAAAAAAAATTGTCTACTCCCAATAAAGCTGGACTAATACCTCGTGTAGCGTCACGCTTGCTGCCCGCAGCAGCAGCAGCAACAGCAACAGCAACAGTCAGAAAGCACGGCACGTCTATTGTAAATGTTGCGATCCCATACATCTACATCCAGTTCGAACCCAAACTTGTTTCCCGCCTCTCTCCAGTAGCACAAACAGACACGCCTCTCCGTTTCAAAACCCTCTCTCTGCCTCCACAAGTCCCCCCCCTCCTCAATCAATATCACGTCGCCCCCCCCCCTGGAGGCAGGTGCGGCCACAAGTGATCCTTAACGCGGTCGAGGAACTCGCACCAGCTGGCCCAGTGCTCGTTCTTGGCGTAGCGCAGCGGCGTCGCCCCCCGTACATCCGTCGCCCTGAGCAATCCCCAGTCCATCTCCAGCATCATGGCCACGAGCTCGAATCGGGGCTCCGCGGTCCAGAACGCGTCGTGCAGGGGGGTCTTGCCGTAATCGTCACAGATCCGCAGCGAGCCTCCGTGAGAGAGAAGGAACCGGAGCACCGGCGTGCTGCCCCTGCGCGTGGCCAGGTGGACGATGGACTCGCCGAAGCGGTTGGATGCTCCCATGTCCACGCCGTCCGCCGCGAGGGCCTCCAGCGCTCCCATGTCCCATCGTCGCACTGCCTCGACGAGCGGAACCTGTTTTTACCGGTTGTTTTGGGGCGGGGGAAAGGGCGAGGTGTTGAAGGGGTTTCGAGTAAGAAAAACAAGTATTCCCGAATTTCACCGAGCATTCTTGCAAGCGATGCTGCGTGTGTACATATGCTAAGGTCACCAGACGACGGAAACCGAGCCTACGAGAGAGCAGGGGGGGGGGGGGGGGG